GGAAGTCAGACATGAAACCAGTCTCCATCCCACATCGCATAGTGACAAACCTATTCCCCACGCACTCTGTGCTAAATGCCTACATAGGTTGGCTCGCTGCTTCCTCATGTGGACTTGTAAGTAAACATGGGTAGGTTTGTTATACCCATTTTACAGATGAGGAAACTGAGGCCCAGAGAGAGGAATTCACCTGAGATCACCCACTTCTCCAGGGCAATGTCTGAAATTCAAAGTCAGACCAACCTAGCCAGTTTCCAGTTCCGATTGTGTGGCCCTGGGCAAATCCTCCCTGCCACCTCCGCCCCTCGGGGTTACCATGGGTCTGTGAAGGGGGACTGGGTCAGTGTTTGCCCAACAGTGTTCTTTTAGCTGCCACTAGGCATCTGAGTGGAGGCACTGGGTGGAGGAGGGGGTCCAGAATTCTAGAAGGTGCTGGTTGAAACAACACGGTAACCGTCGTCTCGCTGTGGGCTTTGCAGAGCGCTGAGTCTGCTAATGTGGTTTATGAATCTCGGAGAGACGGCCTTGTCATATCGGACACCTGTGAGTGTCCAGTTCCAGGGAAGGGTTTGGATGATGCTGGACTAGAAGATTCCCATCATGCCTCACACACCCTCACCCCCGCCCTGCAGCCACCAGCCAAGAACCGTTCCCTTCCTGGGCCACTGGGCCAGGCCCTGGCCAGGGAAGGGACTGGAAAGTCCCCAAGACCATATGCCCGGCCCTTCTCCTTAAGCCCAGGCTCCGGCCCCCCTGGTAACAGCCTGCTTTCTTTAGCTGGGCCAGTGGCTTTCCCCGAGGGCTGATGCCCACATTTCTGCAAGGCTCCCAGAGGCCTCTCAGCTTCCCTGACTTCAGATGAGTTCTCTTTTTCTTTCTTTAACCATAATAATTACTTTTTTATGTTTACAAAAATCAAATTATTTCCATGTAGAAAATAAACAGGAAAGCAAAATAAGAATGAAACATTACTCATCATCCTTCAACTGACCCTATTAGATATTCAAATGTTATGCAAATTAAGCTTTAAGGCTCCACCGGGGTGAGAGCCGGGCAGCTGGTAGTCAGGGACCTGGCAGGGCAGAACGAACGCTCAGAGCATCAGCACATTCACAGAACAGCAGCACTCCCGTTCAACACCATTTCCTCTAAATGTGCCCCTTTCTGCCCAGCTGGGTGAGGGAGCAGCACGGACCAAGCTTAGAAATTCTAGAACCCGGATCTCACCCGAAAGAAGCCCAAGAGTATCAGTGCAGCGACATTCTTCCCATGTCAGGAACGGGCCGGTGCCCAAAAGCTGGGGACTGGCTGCATGACCTTACAGATCCCCAGGGGACGCCGGGCAGCCGTTACACACCGTGTCCAAGAACATCGGCCGTAACACAGAAAACAATTAGAGTGTGATCCCGTGTGATGAGCTATATGACGCACAGCTCTACCACAGAACATCTACACATTTCTAAGTACAGAAAGAAAAGCCTGGAACATCTACCAAAATGCCAGTGGTTTTCTCAGGGCGATGGGGTTATGGGTGGTTTTATTTGATTTTTTGCATTATTTTCTACACTTTCTAACTTACACATGCATTATCTTATAATCTAGAAAAAGTAATTAAGAAAGGAGTAATGAATAAAAAAAGCAATTAGTAATGTAGTTACCTATAAATGGCTGGTTTTTCAAAATCTGGGGCCACAGAAAAATAATGCCTCCCACCAGATTATTCCGTCTCGATTCCCGAGCCTCTCAGAGGGTGTCCCTGTGTACAGGAGGGCTCCCGGCCCTGAGCTGTGGCCCCACAAATGAGGGGAGAATGGCTCCCCTGCCACTAAATCTTTATTTACAGAGCACATGGA